CCTCCCTCCCTCCCTCCCTCCCTCCCTTCCTTCCCAAGCAATAGCACTTACTTATATATCGCTTCACAGGACCTTTTATAGCCCTCTCTAAGTGATTTACAGAGTCAGCCTATTTGCCCCCAACAATCTGGGTCCTCATTTTACCGACCTCGGAAGGATGGAAGGCTGAGTCAACCTTGAGCCGGTCAGGATCGAACTTCCTGGCTGTGGGCAGAGTCAGCCTGCAATGCGGCACTCTAACCACTGCGGCCTCACGGCTTCCTTCCTTCTTATTTTCCTTCCTTCCTTCCTTCCTTCCTTCCTTCCTTCCTTCCTTCCTTCCTTCCTTCCTTCCTTCCTTCCTTCTCCTTTTCCTTCCTTCCTTCCCTTTCCCAAGCAATAGCACTTATATATCGCTCCACAGGGCCTTTTACAGCCCTCTCTGAGCGGTTTACAGAGACAGCCTCTTGCACCCCCCAACAATCTGGGTCCTCGTTTTACCGACCTCAGGACGGAAGGCTGAGTCAACCTTGAGCAAATGTCTCACTTAGCGACAGAAACGTTGGGCTCCATGGTGGCTGTAAGCCGAGAACTAGCTATACCCCTTCTCAGTGTGGGTCCCGGAGTCCATGGAGGAAGAGCGTCGGGCGGAACTCGAGGACTCAACGAACCAACTGAGAACTGATCCCTCCTTCGCTCACCTGCGGGAAGTACTTGATGAGCGTGATTCCCAGCTTGATGTAGGAGAAATAAAACAAGAATTGCAACCAGGTGATTATTTGGGCCACCGTCACAGCCAGGGTGGTGAAGACAAACAGCCACGCCGCCACCAGGAACCCAATGGCGACTCGAGACACCTTCTGACTTCCTCTCTGTGGGGGAAGCAAAGAGAGAGAGAGAGAAAGAAAGAGAGAGAGAGGAGAGAAAGAGAGAGAAAGAGAGAGAGAAAGAGAGAGGAGAGAGAAAAAGAGAGAGAGAGAGAGAGAGAGAGAGGAGAGAAAGAGAGAGAGAGAGAGAAAGAGAAAGAGAGAGAATAACATTACTGCAGAAGATCATAAAAAGCCATATTGTTCTACAGTGAATTTCTGAGCGAGGATTCCATTTTTTCACGGCATCCCTCCCTCTAGATATTAATTTATTTCAAGATCTGTTGTGTACTGAAAAGGTCATGAGGCCTCCCCACAAACAAACAAACAAAACCGTCAGATTTGCTCCAACTTTTCTATCGTGAACAAATTTACCAATTCATGCCCAGGAATTGAACTGCATCGTCTACATTTTGTGCAGCTACTTCTGTGTTAAGTACACAGAGATTATTATCAATTGGCACCTTTCATCAACTGCCACTCTGATCCTAGACACAAAGATTGTGTAATGTTAATCCAGAGTCACAGTTCATGATTTTGAACTAGATGCTACAAAAAGTGTAGCATGATCTAAGGCTGTTATTGTTTCCCAGCAGAATAAGATTTAAAAACGGGAGTGCAAGCCTCTAGTCTAGGTCAAAGATGGATACCAAATTCTTTTTTTATGTTATATATTTAGTATTTTTCATCGCTGGCCACTCAGGGGCTGAGGCTGGGGCTATTAAAAGTTGTGCTTTGTGTGGTATAGTGCTTAAGGTATCAGTCTGGTATGCTGGGAGACTGGGAATTCTAGTCCCAATTTAGGAACAAAGCCTAAAGCCTTGGGCTAATAACAACAGCCCTAGGAAGCATGACATGGCAACATTTCCCAGCCAGAAATCAGTTCCCCAGTGGGCATCAATGGACGGAATTCACGGGTCAACTCAAGGCTGGCCGAGGAATTTGCCGCCCGTGGGCAGCCCGTGGGCAGAGGAACCGTTGCAGCCTGCCAAACATTCCTGCTTGAATTTGAGTAAAATCCTGCCAAATCCTCAGTTTCCTTCTAAAAATCTCTTAAGCTGTGTCCAGAATACAGAACAACAAGAGTTGGAAGGGACCCCGGAGGTCTTCTAGTCCAACCCCCTGCTCAGGAAGGAAATCCTATGCCACAGAGGTCCCCAACCTTTTGGGCACCACCAGGGACCGCTTCTGTGGAGAGAGGTTTTTCCGCGGACCAGAGGGTGCGTGGTTTTGTGTGCTGCCTGCACCCTGCGGATGGCGCTTTGCTTGTTTGTGCGGCCCGGTTGCTGGCAGACCGCGGCCCGGTACCTGTCCACGGACCAGGGGTTGGGGACCGCTGATCTAGGGTCTCCTGCTTGAGCAGGGGGTTGGACTAGAAACCTCCAACGTGCCTTCCAGCTCTGTTATGACCTTCAGAGGTTCTGTCTGTCTGTCTCATATTTATAGAAAAAATTACAATTAGAGTTGTTGACTAGAAACAACAACATGCTCTTTTGTTTGCCTGTGTGTGTCAACGCTGCTAACATCGGATGTTTTCACATTGACAACAGATGGAAATGTAGCCATCTTTTACCTTTTGCTTTTAGAGTCAGATGATGCTGGGAGCGGGTATGTGAACGAGAGTCCAGCTAGACATAACAACACTAAACTTAGGGTGAGAATCAAGGTAACTGTAATCAGAGTCCTAGTGGACAATCCCTTAACTATGAGCCAGCCGTGTGCTGCAGCTGCCAAAAAAGCCAACACAGTGCTAGGCTGCATTAACAGAGGGATAGAATCAAGATCACGGGAAGTATTAATACCACTTTACAAGGCCTTGGTAAGGCCACACTTGGAATACTGCATCCAGTTTTGGTGACCACGATGTAAAAAAGATGTTGAGACTCTAGAAAGAGTGCAGAGAAGAGCAACAAAGATGATTAGGGGACTGTAGGCTAAAACATATAAGGAACAGTTGCTGGAATTGGGTATGTCTAGACTCTAGCCTAATGAAGAGAAGGACGAGGGGGGACATGATAGCTGTGTTCCAGTATCTCAGAGAAGCAACCTAGAACTAAGGAGAAACTTCCTGACAGTGAGAACAATTAATCAGTGGAACAACCTGCCTCCAGAAGCGGTGAATGCTCCAACACTGGAAGTTCTTAAGAAGAGACTGGACAGCCATTTGTCTGAAATTGTATAGGCAGGGTTTCCTGCCTGAGCAGGGGGTTGGACTAGATGACCTCCAAGGTCCCTTCCAACATCATCATCATCATCATCATCATCATCATCATCATCATTATTAAGAGGAAGAAAAGGACGATTGTGGGTGCCACTGAGCTGGGTGGTTTTCCTGCAGACGTTTCATGACCCAACTAGGGAACATCACCAGCGCACCTACCTCATAGATTAAGCACTGGAAGATGATGAACAAAGTGAGGGCTACAGCGTGGAGGCTGAAAAACACATCGTTGCTGTCCACAGGATTCACTCCATTGGGATACCGGTGCAGGAATTGCTCCTGCGGAGGAAGGCAAAGCCGTTAACACTAAAATGGGTGGCCCAAGATGGCAGATGACACCCGGGCAGGGAAGGCGGGACCTGGGTACCTTTACAGGGACGATCCAAAAGAGCCCAATGTTGAAGACGCTGTAGGCAATGAAGCCGGTCAGGTTCAACGCGATGAAATCGAAGCTGAGTCCCACAACACTGGCGAAAGGAACCGGGAAAGGCTCAGAAGAACAGTTGTGGGAACAACCTGGCTAGTTTTCAGGAATTTCACAAGTGTGCTAACCTTGCAATTGCAATTATCAGTTAGCTGGACAAATTCAGTTTCTAGACCAGCGTTTTCCAAACTTTAAGATGAGCGAACTCCAACTCCCAGAATTCCCCAGCCAGCATGCTTTAAGATGGAGGCACTTCCACTCCCAGAATTCCCCAGATAGTTATGCTTTAAGACTGGTGGGCTTCCACTCCTAGAATCCCCCAGCCAGCATGCTTTAAGAGGGCTGGACTTCCACTCCCAGAATTCCCCAGATAGCTATGCTTTAAGAGGGATGGACTTCCACTCCCAGAATCCCCCAGCCAGCCTGCTTTAAGAGGGGTGGGCTTCCACTTCCAGAATTCCCCAGCCAGCCATACTTTAAGAGGAGTGGACTTCCACTCCCATAATCCCCCAGCCAGCCTGCTTTAAGATTGGGGTGGACTTCCACTCCCATAATCCCCCAGCCAGCCTGCTTTAAGATTGGGGTGGACTTCCACTCCCATAATCCCCCAGCCAGCCTGCTTTAAGAGGAGTGGACTTCCACTCCCATAATCCCCCAGCCAGCCTGCTTTAAGATTGGGGTGGACTTCCACTCCCATAATCCCCCAGCCAGCCTGCTTTAAGAGGGGTGGGCTTCCACTCCCAGAATCCCCCAGCCCGCCATGCTTTAAGACATGACCGCAATTTGTTTTCCAGCAGAAAATGGCAAAAAACTTCCACGGGATATGCCGGATTCACTTAATGACTACATGTTCGCTTAACAACCACCTGATTTGCTTAAGGACCTTGGCGACTCCCTTTACCAGCATCCTAAAAACGGTCATAAAATTGAGCGCGATTACTTGATGCCTCAATTTAGACCACAGTGACTTAACGACGAAAATTCTGGGCTCCGGTTATCGTCGTAGGTTGAGGACTACCTTTCGGGGGGAAACAAAGGAGCACCCTGTTTCAACAGAGGGGAAACTGAAGCTGGCTAATTTTTGCTCAGCTTCAGGGCGACCTGTTGGAAAAATAAAAACGGTCAGAATCGGAAGACCGTGCCAACCACTGTTGGGCCTTACTCGGTTAACACCGGCAACTTCCAGAGCATGAAAACTGATTGTTGTGTCTTTTACCTTTTGCGTCTCCAGTTCTCAAACACCTGAGGATAGAAGGAAACCGACCAGGCTAGGAAGTAGATCCAACCTATCACTTGGTCCACGATCCTTACGGCCTTGCTGTGAATCACAAGGAAGCGGATTCTGGGCCTGCAAAGGAAAAAGAGAGGGCTATGTTTGTGGGAACGTAATGATTCTAAACTGATGACTTGCTTGACGCCGCCCCCCCGGGCTCTGCCTCTTTTCCTCCTACGACTCCACTCTTAGTGCCTCAGTTGGAGGTGGCTGGCAAAAGGTCCCAAAAGTTGGGAAGTGGGAAGAATGGCCAGTGAGTGAAATTACATCTCGATGAATGGAATTACCGGCTGAACGTGGCTTCGGTTATGGATGCTTACCCGATCTGGTCGGATGTGTTCACCTGCAGATATACCGTCACCTGCCCGACCTCTTTAGCACTCACAAGGAAATGTGCCTCCTTTTGGCCTGCGGTAATTATGACCTGTCAGAGATGGAGACATAAAACGTATGAACTGCCGATGAGATTAAAGGGATGGGCGTATGGCCAGATGGATGTCAATCTAGCCCAGTGATGGCGAACCTATGGCACGCATGCCAGAGGTGGCATCAGAGCCCTCTCTGTGGGCACGCGTGCCATGCCCCAGAGATGGCAACTGTTCCTCTTCAACCAACCGCCCGCTAACTCGCTGAGGTCTCACGTGGCCGGATGCATCACAGACAGCTGGTTTCCCTCCCCCCGCATCCCATCCCTCCTGGCCTCGCATGCTCTCCTTTTCCCGGGCACGACCCACTGCATTGCCTCCTCAGCTGTCGGTCGGCCGTCCAGCTCAGAGGCGGCTTCTCTGAACTGCTGGCAGTGGGCTGCGGAGCCCCAGAGTGCACCGGTTGAGGAGCCAGCAGGCTATGGCTGCTGACGGACACTGTCGGCCCCCATGCGCTTGCTGGCCTCTGTGTGCGGGGGCCGATGGTGTCAGGCAGCAGCCGCCCCAGCCCCTGCCTCGCCTTGCCCTGCGACAATGGCATCCCCGCCCTGCCTCGCCTCACCCCGCAGGATGAGCCTCCTGCCCACCGCCCCACCTGCCAGAGACCCCCTGGATCTCCCCCAACCCTGCCCAGCCCTCACAGGCGTCCCTCCCCGCGAGCAACATCGAGGTGACCATGCCCACCTTGGCCACACCCACCCAGTCTGCCATGACTGCCATGACTGCCACGCCCACCTGGCACCCAGCGATACATAAGTGGGTTTTGGGTTGCAGTTTGGGCACTCGGTCTCTAAAAGGTTCGCCATCACTGATCTAGCCATTCTTTCAGGCTGATCCTGATGGATCATGACTCCACTTTGTCTTGGGGCTTAGAGTTTTTCAACCCTGGCAAGATGGTTGGACTTCAACTCCCAGAATTCTCCGCCCAGCCATGCGTAAAGCTGGGGAATTCTGGGAATTGAAGTCCACCCATCTTAAAGCATGCTGGCTGGGGAATTCTGGGAGTTGAAGTCCACCCATCTTAAAGCATGCTGGCTGGGGAATTCTGGGAGTCGAAGTCCACCCATTTTAAAATAAGCAGACTGGGGAATTCTGGGAGTGGAATTCCACCCATCCTAAAGCATGCTGGCTAGGAAATTCTGGGAGCTGAAGTCCACCCATCTTAAAGCATGCTGGCTGGGGAATTTTGGGAGCTGAAGCCCACCCATCCTAAAACATGTGGTTTGGGAATTCTGGGAGCAGACGTCCACCCTTCTTAATGTTGCCAGTCTAAGGGTTTTGCCCCTTCAGTCTGAGTTAGACCACAGAGAGTCAGGTAATCCTCGAGTTACGACTGTAATTGAGCCTAGCAATTACAGTTGTAAGTAGTTAAGTAGTGACAGTTGCAAAGCAGCTGACCACCTGACCAATTTCATGACTTTTTTTGCAGCGGTCGTAAAGTGAACATGTAGGTTGTTAAATGAACACCCCAGTTGTTAAACCCATTATTTGCTCTGGGATATTTTTTGCTGGAAACCAGATGTCGATGCCAATTGGCAGCAAAGACTGTCGTAAGTCACAGTCACCTGGCTGCAGGGCGCCGTGACGTGAGCCAGTTGCTGGGCGTCCAGAATGTGTCATGTGTGAACATGGAAAGGGAGGGGCAACGTCGAAACTTTAAATAGTTGCTAAACAATCAGTCATAAGTCGAGGACTACTCACAGCCACAATTTAGCCCCAAATCTTGTTAAGCGAGACAGTTGTTTTGTGAGTTGTGCCCCATTTCATGACCTTCCTTGCCACAGTTGTTAAGTAAATCATTGCAGTTGTTAAGTCAGCAACACGGTTGTTAAGTGAATCTGGCTTCCCCATGGTCAGAAGGTTGCAAAAGGGGACACTGCAACCGTCATAAGTATGAGTCAGTTGCAAAGCATCCTAATTTTGATCACGGGACCGTGGAGATGTCGCAACGGTCGTCAGGTGCAAAAAACGGGCCTAAGTCACGTTTTTCAGGGCCGTTATAACTTCGATCGGCCACTAGCCCAATCGTTGTAAGTCGAGGACTTCCTATATTTGTATTGCAAAACGAAAAACAGACCGAACACAACTGATCTCATCCAATCCAGGCAGGCGAAAATCTACATCTCAAGCTTCCTCCTTCTGTTATATATTCAAGATGGACAGTATTTAATATTTATTTGCTATGTAAATAATAATAATAATAATAACAACAACAACAAACCACAAAACAACAAACAACAAACAACAAAACAACAACAATAATAATAATAATAATAAAGTTGGAAGGGACCTTGGAGGTCATCTAGTCCAACCCCCTGCTCAGGCAGGAAACCCCTATACCATTTCGGACAAGTGGCTGTCCAGTCTCTTCTTAAAAACCTCCAGTGTTGGAGCATTCACCGCTTCTGGAGGCAGGTGGTTCCACTGGTTAATTGTTCTAACTGTCAGGAAGTTTCTCCTTAATTATAATGATGATGATAAAGTTGGAAGGGACCTGGGTGGTCATCTAGTCCAACCCCCTGCTCAGGCAGGAAACCATATACCATTTCGGACAAATGGCTGTCCAGTCTCTTCTTAAAAACCTCCAGTGTTGGAGCATTCACCGCTTCTGGAGGCAGGTTGTTCCACTGGTTAATTGTTCTGACTGTCAGGAAGTTTCTCCTTAGTTCTAGGTTGCTTCTCTCCTTGATTAGTTTCCACCCGTTGCTTCTTGTCCTGCCTTCAGGGGCTTTGGAGAATAGCTTGACTCCCTCTTCTTTGGGGCAGCCCCTGAGATACTGTAACATTGCTATCCTGTCCCCCCTCGTCCTTCTCTTCATTAAACTAGACAGACCCAATTCCAGCAACCGTTCCTTATATGCTTTAGCCTCCAGGCCCCTAATCATCTTTGTTGCTCTTCTCTGCACTCTTTCTAGAGTCTCAGCATCTTTTTTACATCGTGGTGACCAAAACTGGATGCCGTATTCCAAGGCCTTGTAAAGCGGTATTAATACTTCACGTGATCTTGATTCTATTCCTCTGTTAATGTTGTACATAGTATGTTTAGGTGTGTGTCATGTATGTGTTTCAGTTTGAGAGCGGGCAACTAAATTTCATTTTTGATGCGTGCCATTGTGCCCACAGTAAAAAAAAAATGACAATAAAGGTTATCTCATCTCATCTCATCTAAAACTTACCTGGTCGGGCAATTCAACGATGGTGATGTTCTTTTTGGATGCATACGTCAAGTTGAAGCTTACTGCCAAAGTCTCGTTGGGTGGAGCACTGCAGGGACACCATTAAACAGGGGCGTCAAACTCAATTTCATTGAGGACCGCATCAGCATTGCAGTTGCCCTCGGGGGGGGGGCAGGTGGGTGTGGCCAGGGTGGGTGCAGCCTACTGGGTGGGCATGGATGGAGTGGGTGTGACCTACTGGATGGGCATGGCCAGGTCTACATCATTCGTGTCAAGGGTGCCTGTGGGGGCCTGGGCAGGAGTGGGACAGATCTGAGGGTCTCTGGCAGAAGGGGGGGGGACCGGGGCAAGCGCCAAGGCATGGTCCATTTCTTCATTCCTCACAAAGGGTGACCCCTCCCCAGCAGGCACCCAGGGGGTGGGGCCAACACGGCAGGGGCTGGTTCCTCGCTGTTTCCGGACAGCCTTGTGGAGCTAAGACTGAATGCCTTTCAGCATAGATGGCCACCACAAAACTGTACATTGGCTCCCGGCCGGCCTGGGCCAGGGCCAAGGCAGCGGGGGCCGTTCCCTCACTGTTTCCAGGATGGCTTCGCGGGCCACATGAAACCACTTCATGGGCCGCATCCGGGCCCCGGGCCTTGTGTTTGACATGTCTGCCATAAAAAGACAGGCCACATAGGCTGGGAGAATTCGCACCCTCGTCCTTCCCACGTGCCCTCTAGCCCTTCCTGACGGGCCCAGCCCAGACCTAAAAATTAGGATTCGCCGCCCAGCAACATTATCTTGCCAGGAACACCCAGTCTGGAAGTCCCCAACGTAACAAAAGAAAATTGAATTTTTAATCACCGGGAATGACTGCGCCCCGGGTGAGTTGCCTGATTACGTAGCCATTCCCGGGTTTTCCCCCAGGTGTGTTTACCTTGAGGGGGAAGGTGAAAAATGTCGGAGGCGGCTTACCTGAAGGTGAGTGTGATTGTTTGCACGCTGTGGTTTTCCAGGGAAACTTCTTCGGGAGCGGAGAAAAGAGGGGGCTCGTCTTCAACTGGGAAGGAAAAAAGACAAAAAAAAAAACATCAGGAAAGTTTGAAGTCCCTTTTTCCTCCCACGTTTCCGGCTTCAGACAAGAATATTTTTATTTTGGCAGGGGGGGGGGAACCACATAATCCAGTCCGTTTAAGAGACTGGCACGTGAGCCCCCTCCCCGCCCGCCCACCCACCCACCCAATTGATCCAAGCTCAAGGCTTGGATCAGACTGCCTTTGGGGTGTAACCCTTCCAATTTTCCACGCCACCCTTCATTGCCTATAGCCCAGGAGTGTCTAACCTTGACATCTTTAAGACCTGTGGTCTTCATCTCCCAGAATTCCTCGGGGCGTAACCTTAAATTAAGGCAAGGCTGGAGATCCGTGATCTAGATCAGTGCATTTCAATCTTGGCAGCTTTAAGATGAGGGGACCTCAACTTCAAATAAGGAAGGAAGGAAGGAAGGAAGGAAGGAAGGAAGGAAGGAAGGAAGGAAGGAAGGAAGGAAGGAAGGAAGGAAGGAAGGAAGGAAGGAAG